CTAGTGTTAAAAGTAACTTACTTTTAACACACGTGTCAAAAAATGACATTTTTAACATCAAAAATGACAATTAAAAAGCCCACTTTTAACAGTTTTGTAGAAAAAATATTGTATGATATACGTGTTAAAAGTGATTTTATTTTGTTCGTGAAGTTAAAAAACTCGCTACGCTCGTTTTTTAATCATCTTCACTCACAAAATAAAATCTTACTTTTAACACGTATATCATAAATAGCTATTTCATCGTTTAGATCCTAAGCTACTTAACATTTTGCGCCTGTTAGTCATACTCGTACATTATTCAACATATCAACATAAAACAAAAACGTACGTGTGGGGTAAACCTTTAACTTTAAGTAAACAATTGTATAAATTTACTAATGAATATTTCTAATAGTATACAAGCGCCGAAGAGCGGAGCTCGCGCTCGAAAATGAAAAGTTAAAGATTTACCCCACACGTACGATTTTGTTTTTTGTTGATATGTTGAATAATGTACGACTACGGCTAACAGGCGCAAAATGTTAAGTAGCTTAGGATCTAAACGGTCAAAATTAATTCTCTTTTTTAATTGTAGGTAATTGTGCTGGTTAATCTACCGTGATGAAATATTTTATAAATATACATATATATTTTTCCAAAAATTAAAAAAAACGCTGATGTATAAAACTAGGGTGACGTATAAAACCTTACCAAAGCTGCAAAAATGAAGATAATTGAGTTTTGCAAATTGCTTTTGGTTTCTGCATATTTACACTATGTGTAGGTATACCAAATTTCAAGTGTCAGCAAAACTTCGAACAAATTTAGTAAAGTTTCGAGTTTTAGATGCCGATGGATGTATAAAACCTTATAGAACAAAAAGTTTTGCGCTCCTGATTTTCGGCTTTAGCATCATTATTGTATATATATTGAACTATAGTTTNACTGAATTGTATATTTATATGGAATTTTGCTTAATACATGAAAATACTTTATTAGAAATTATGTGCACATTTTTTACGAAATTTTTTTTCATCATTTTTTGTCGGACTGACGATTTGCTGATATATTTTTGTCGGACATTACAATTTTGCTTGAAACGCGGCTTGAAATTTGTCGGACAACAATACTTTTGCTTTATATAATGCAACACTTGCACAATGTTGATACCTACTTAAGAAAATGACTGATACACTTAAATCAGGACGAGTTCCCGAAACAGCATAAAGTAAGCTTCCTATCAGTTGTTTACATCTTTTTTCAATATATTAACTTTCAGATTTTTCTCTGATTAAAGATTGAAAATCAAAATTTTGATCTATTGGTGTATCTATGTTTTTACAGTCTGACATACCGAATTTTTCAAGAACATTTCTCAAATATTTTTCGTGTTTGATTATTATCTTTCCTGAATCTAAATCTTGCACTATATTTATACCCAAAAAATTATTTGTCAATCCAAAAAATTTTGTTTTAAAATTCTCATTTAGCAACACTAAAATTTTCTATTTCCGTGTTATTAGTTCCAAAGATTAGTAAATCGTCAACATATATTAAAAGATAAAATGAGTTACCTTTTTTAAACCTGGTATATAGGCACAAATCATTTTTGGATCTACAAAAACCTTGTCCGATCATAAAACTATCAAATTTTTCATTCCAATATTTTGGAGATTTTTTAAGTCCATATATTGAACGATTTAACTTGCATAATGTCTCATCGGGTAACTTCATATACACTGTCTCGTTAATGTCACCATACAAAAAGGCTCCGGTCACATCTAACTGATACACTGGTAGGTCCAATTTATTAGCAATTGCCATGAACACCCTAAAAGTTGTTAAACGCGCCACTGGTGCATATAATAGGCCCATTCAGTGATATTTAATTTTAAACTTTTTCTTTAATTTTCTGATAGTATTTACCCACCTAATTATATCTTAAAAAAATTAGGTCAATAGGATTAATAATAAGTGATATATTTAATTCTGAATTTGTAAGACCCTTAAAAAGGTCAACGCTGCGAGAGAACAGCTAATGACGTCACAATACCGGCCACTCGGCGATCAAGTCGCGAGCAGACGGAGAGATGTGTAGATATTTGCTATACTTTTATCGATATTATATACCTATATTTTTAAGTGTATAAATAGAGAGTGTATAAGAGATATACATCAAGTCTTGTTGAAATGCATTTTTCACACAACATATTTATTATAAACATAGAATGTCTTGGAATATCTAAATACATTTTCGGATTTTTCTCAATGACGTAAATGGTTCGCTTTTCTACATTTTCTTTTGCCCCAACGTACTAGACTCGGTACTTGTGGATGTATGCGACGACGTGTATGTGCCGGTAGTACTTTGACTAGTATTTGGAGCTACTCAAAACCACCCTCGTTTTTCTTTGATTGCCCGTCTATATTATTATTTAAATAAATTACTTATAGGTGCCTCTCGCAACGTATTTCGAAATTTTTGTGGACGGGAACGTTTAGATGGGGTAGAATTTATTTTTTCGACATAAATTTGAAAATTCTGCTCTAAATGTTTAAATAATAATATTTATAACCTCTTAGACGGGCAACCAAAGAAAAACGAGGGTGGTTCTGAGTTGCTTATAGGTCCCTCTCGCCGACGTATTTCGAAATTTTTGTGAACGGGTACGTTTAGATGGGGCAGAAATTTTTTCCAGCATAAATTTTATAATTCTGCTCTAAATGTTCAAATAATAATATTTAAAACCCTCTAGATGGAAAACCAAAGAAAAACTAGAGTGGTTCTTAACTGCTTATAGGTCCCTGTCGCCGTCGTATTTCGAATTTTTTGTGAACACGAACATTTAGATGGGGCAGAATTTATTTCCGGCATAAAGTTGAGAATTGTGCTCTAAATGTTCAAATAATAATATTTTACAACCCCCTAGACGTGCATCCAAAGAAAAACGAAGGTGGTTTTGAGTTGCATACCGTGGCTGGGGAAACCGTGGATAACATCACACAAACTTTTCATTTTTCGGTAATGAAATAAATATTTTATTCGGAGTCGATCCTGAGGTACTTTTGCAGCCTGGAACTATACAATATTTGTACAATCCTCGGTTTCGACCCATTTAGACATAAAAACAATAATTANGTATAACACCTTATAGAACAAAAAGTTTTGCTCTCCTGATTTTCGGCTTTAGCGTCATTATTGTATATATATTGAACTATATTTTTCGAAAGTTTTATCACTTTTTGTTTATAATTGACATTTTTACAGCAACTTTAAAAAATTGACGTTTTATACCGTTTTTTCAATCTCACGGCTTTGTTATTGCAAATTTCGTAATCGGACCTCAGCCATTTTGTAGCTATTTTTATTACGAACAAAATTATGTTCTAAGCATTTTTTCGTACATAGTCATCCCGCCGAATTATTTAAAGAAAACTACTAAAAAAAATTTTCACGATTAAATTGTTAATAACTTTTTTCCTGATAAAATACTTTGTCAGCAAATTAGCCTGTTATAGTACTCATCATTTAAAGTATTCCTGTGTTCCGAGTTATCAAGGAAATGTCACCAACAGTAACTTTTCGGCCTCTGCCGACTGGACTATTCAGATTGTAGTCATTCACTAAAAAATAAGGTGTGCGAAACCAGGGCTCTGTCAGTTGCATAGTTTATAAGTCATGGCCTTACAAACAAATTAATTAACAGTCGATCTATTACAGGACACGGAGCGCTACCTATAGTGACGCTGATTTTTTTATAGGTAGATTTCAATAAATTTATTTATTATTTTTCACTGAAACGCAATTTTGCAACCAGGAGAATTAAAAAAAAATTGTTATATTTAGGCCTTTTGAAAATTTCAGTTTCAACATTCTCTATCTAAGAAACTTAATATTTTTCGATTTTTAAAGGAATTTTTCTTATTTTGAGGTGTTCTAGCACCAAGTAAAATTTGACTTACGCAATTCGGGACATTCTGTATTAACTAACTCTTTTAATTATATTTGGATTTAACTGAAATTTATTTTTTAATAAAAAGTAATATTTTTACAATCAAGCGAAAAATTTTTCGTTTCTATGATGACTATAATTTACAAAAACAAATACAAGTGAGTTTTCATATTAAATATATTTTAATAATGCCTCTATTTCAGAAAACATTTCTTGATTTTATTTTAATTATTTAATGTTACAAAAAAAATGGCATTTATACCTATAAAATAGTTGCTCCCTCATTCATTAGTTTTGATTTTATATTTAAAAAATAATTAACATCCATTCGGTAAGTTTTCAGTTGACATTTTACATATCTTTCCATTGCTTAGAATCAAAAAAGTTTTCAGTGACTAGCTATTTTAATTTTACTTATCTAATTTTGTATAACAAATTTAAATAAAATCACCAAGAATTATGAACAATAAGAATAGAATATAAATTTTTAATGTTCTAAATTCACAGGGTGAGTTTTTTTTCGATGTTTAGTGTAGGGACCTGGGAAAGCAGCAGAGATATAAAAAGCTTAAATGAGGAAAGATATGCAGTTTTATGATCCTTATTAAATGTTACTTATATTTATGTTATGATTATAAATTTTGTTCAAGATAATGTATCAGAAACAATAACATAATTATATTGTTTGTATTCGCACTTTGTATTTGTACCACACATGATAATACTGCAATACAAATATAGAACAGTTTTCTGAAAAAAATCGTTGTAGACCATTTTTTGTTAATATAGGTTTTCCTGATTGCAGAAAGAAGTTGCGATAAAAATAGAATGAGTACGAATAGTTGATCTTTTTTTCTTCGTTATCAATATATACATATTATATCTAAATGTTATTTCTAACAATCAGGGACTGATTTAAGACCATCAGAAATATCAATGAAAGAAGACTAGTTGAATTTTGGTGGTTTGGAATCCGTTCCTATTGTTGTTAGAGAGATGAATAAAACCAATTCATGAACGTAATGAACCTTGATATTTACAATATTAAATATTTTATTCTTATAATTTTTAGGACAAGCTGGAGTAAATCAACTTGGTGGAGTTTTCGTGAATGGTCGCCCTCTTCCTGATTGTGTAAGAAGAAGAATAGTAGAATTGGCGTTGTTAGGTGTACGACCCTGTGATATATCTAGACAACTTCTTGTCTCCCATGGATGTGTTTCAAAAATTTTAACAAGATTCTATGAAACTGGTTCTATTCGCCCTGGATCCATAGGAGGCTCTAAAACAAAGGTAGGTTTAATTTAGGTATGCAAAATTGAAATATTAGTAATAAATTCTTCAACTTTTTAAGCGAATCCAAATTAATTCTAAAATTTTTCTGAATTTTCATCAATTGAAGTTATATGCAAACTATTTCGGAATTAATTGGGGAAAACTTAAATTCGGTCGGTAAACTATGAATGTCTTGAAGATACAGCTTTTTAGAATTTGAAAACTAAAAATTCTGAAATATCGCTGGATTTTCTAAAAAATATATACTTACCTACCTACATCTAATATTCTCTAAAATGTTACAAAACAAAGACATATTTTTGGTAATCAATTCTGTAGCTTTCACAGCTTTTGTCTCATGTGAAATATGTGTTACGTAATAAGCAGTTGTTACACAGCTATGAGCTGTCAGTTGATTGACTGATTTGAAAAATACATAAATGTAGAGTTTAGCCATTAAAGAACTTAAAAATATATTCTTTTCTTAATTAATTGGGTAGTTAAAATAAAAAGTGTATGTACATACGCTTCATTTTTTGAAATACAAGGTGTCAAAATTTGGAAAAAATTTACATTTTATAAAATATCTTTCAAAACATTTGATGTATAACGTAGAATTAATGAGAAAAATCCTCTAAGTTTGTGTATAAACCAGTGGTGGATATACCGAGAACCATTTCCACTAAAAACCCCAAATATTCAACGCCAATAGGTATTTTGGAAATTCGATCACTAATTTAACTCCTGTTCCATTTTGTTCGAAAAATTGACTATTTTCGATTTATTACTCCTTCTTTACTTAGGCACAAGGCATACTAGAAGTGCTAGAACTATTTGTTTCGCAAAAAATTGGTACACCAAAAAAAATGTATATTAAAATGTATGTAATTGTAATACTGTTTATAATTTATATAGAAAATACGACTAACTACAATTGTGTCACACATTACCAACAAATTTATTTAAAATGTTGTATTTATTTATTTACTACAATTTTATTAAGTACTTTCTATTTTGCTATATATAACATATGTACTTACATAATTATGTTAAATAAATACTAATAATATCCCAAAATTTCTTACATTTTTTACAAAAATATCTAAATACTGTAGCTTTAATTACCACATTACAGGAGAAAAAAATTTAAAATACTTAACAAATATTTACAAATTTGAAATTAGGGTACTGAAAAAATAAATGTCACAATTTATTGCACTTATAAATTATACTTAAACAATGATTAAACTAATTAAAGCTAAAATTAAAGCAAACGCAACACCCACAAATATCAGAAGAAAATAGTACAATCTTGAAGAAAAGAAAACAGTACTCAAGTATGGCTAACAAACGAATCTGGAAAATAATTACAACTTTTTATGTCACATATCTCATATCACGTATCACTAAAAATCAGCAATTAATAAGTACCAATAAATAAAACAACCTGACACCGCGTCAATATCGTTCCAGTTTTTCAAGCAAAATTTATTTATTGTAATTGTTTTGTACAATTATTATTCATGCCTAGCATGAATACAAAGAACAACATTTAACATGTGTACATTTAAAATTAACTAATCTAACATAATAAAGGCGTAACAAAAAAATGTTACTATGCATGTCAAGGTTAGATCTAAATTTTTTAAATATTTCTATAAATAATTTTAAATAAAAACACATTACGAGAGAAAAATGTTTATATAATAATAATGATAATGATAATGGTAATGGTAATGGTAATGGTAATGGTAATGGTAATGGTAATGGTAATGGTAATGGTAATGGTAATGGTAATGGTAATGGTAATGGTAATGATAATGATAATGATAATGATAACGATAATGATAATAATAACAATTTTTTTATGGAATTATACGAAAATATATACATGATTACGATTGTGCTAAAAATTTTTGCTCAACATGGGGGAGCACAATACTATAATAATTTCTTGCAATGTATTTTTTTCCGTGTAGAACTTTTATCTAGAAATAAGATCGAAAAAATTATTTGCATTGATATCTTTTAGACTATACCCCCTGCCATATCTAATGCGTTTGTATGTTTCTATAATGGCACTGAATTCTATACCAAATCTTTCTCTGATCTGCAGGATTACATCTTTTGACGATAATTTCTACTTTTCGCAATCGGAAAGTAAACTACAATTACATTTTTACTAATTATACTAATCAGAACATGGTCATCAAATATAGCAAAAGCTCTCGTTTTGCCATGCTTACATATTACTCCAGTCGAATTAGTAGATATTTTATTGCACTTTATGATGGGGAAGGGTATGTAGGTTGATAGCATCAAAAAAGTAAGTCGAAGAAGTAACGCTAAATTAGCAAATTGCAAATAAGTGGCAAATTTACGTGTTTTTTCACTTTTATTACTGCCCACGCAAGACGACCTATCAGAAAATTTGTAATTTTATGTTGTAAGAAATTAAATTACCTACAATTTAAGGTATCTAAAGTCATATTTCACCAATTTGTTAACTGTAAAATAAGGTTGAACGCGGATCAGTTTTCGAAAATTGCGCATTATTATTGCAAAAGGCGATGGATGTTGATGGAATTTATGGAAAACACGGTCAACTCAAAGACCAATATGTGTGCCAAAGGCCAATTCGATTGACCGTGAAATTGTTACTCCAGATATTTATTACTTAATTTCGTTAATTTTTTTTGCAACTAATTGTTTAATTACTAAACGTTAATTTTAGAAGTTAATATCGTAGATATAAGTTCTAATTGATCCAAAGAAACGTATCGAAAAAGAAAAATTTCAAAAAGTTGAAATTAAGTAACCCTTTACAACTAACAAAGTAGGACGTGCAAAAAAGGGGCAAAAGCCACTCGGAAATTCGCTCTTTTTGCATTAAATAGAGCTTATTTTTACGGTAATTTAAAAAAAAAGAGAGATCCACCTACGCCTCTTTGTTTCCAAGTCAGCTTATTTTATAACGTTAATTGTTAATTAACTATTGGACGTATCGGACCGGGATTTTAGAGACAAATAAAGAGTTAAACTTTTATTTTCAGAAAGTTTTACATTAAGTTATATTAAGAAGATCTATTGATGATGTATTTCTCAAACTTAGCAAATAAAATGAAACCGTCAACGCTTCGGTCATAATATTCAATGTTGCGGTAAACGTTGTACTTATATAAAGAAGGGGATTGATATAAGTAAATATTTAAAGTTACGTGCTTTTCTCAAGAGACAAAATGAGGGATATGTACCGAAAATATTTAGTATTTACAAAGGAGCAAGTTCATTGCTTTTTGAATAGTTCACCTGATAATTTATATTTGATGATGAAGGTAAACACTAAAAATAAAAGAACAAAATTTTAAAAAAGCTTCTTTATGGGTCGTCCCAATATTAGGGGTTGCAGGCACATGCCGCTCTGTTTAACAATAATAATTGATAATGTTGAAAACGTAAAATCCGCCTTAATTATAAAAATTCATAAAAATTCCCAATACCAAAACTAACAGACCACGTTCTTTTGCTGAGCTGGGAGACAATTATTTAAGTTATTATCGAAGATATGTTGCTTTACATCCTCCCGAATTGGTAAAACGTCGATTATTTCTCAGATATGTTAGTGGAAAGTGTCATCGAATGCCAAGAAGTGGCAAAATTTTTGAAGCTGGACAACTGAAAGGAGTACCTACCTACAGTGGACACACATTACGATGAACGTATGCTACCCTTTTAGTTGACGACGGTGGTGAACTCGTTTGTCTTAAAAGACAGGGATGATGGAGATCGAGCACTGTAGCGGAAGGCTACATTGAAGACTCACTTTTGAATAAAGAAAGTATTGGGAAAAGAATACTGAAAGTTGATAGTGGTAATGATAAACCAAGCACCGTTGTCATTTCTGATTTCACAACATCTGAAAATAATATAACTATTAATGAAAACGTGTTGGACTGCTTTGAGAATTGCTCCAAGAATGAAGGCAATTTCAGTGGTTTTTTTAATTTTAATACTTGCTCAAACTGTGTATTTAATATCAATGTGGATAAACAAGAAATTGTCGTAAATATTATTGAATAAACTTTTATAAATTAAAACTTGATTAACACTTTTAATCTAAATAAAAGTGTCGGCTTTAACTCCTAGAATTAAATTAAAAGTCAATACTTGTGTTGCTAAGATACCATTTTTCAATAAGGAAAATGTTAACTTTAGAGACTTCTGACAGTCAAAAAATGTCCTAGTTTTGTGACGGTTGGAGAAAAATAAACTTATTAGATATTTCCAATTTCAGTCCACACCAGCTTCGTGTTGAGAATTTTTATTCAGTTAAAATTGCCATCTTTTTCTCTCCGAATGTGTTGTCTTTTTAATTTATCGCTTTGCACTCAGATCTTTTCCTATATTTGATGACTCTTGTATCATATAATTCAAGATTTCAGTAAAACGCGTAGGTATTTGTTTTATCTTTGGGATCATTTGAATAAAGAGCCTATTTTTATTTCTTATTTTTAGATAATTATTTACAATACTAGCTTACAAACTTATTTCCTCAACAAACTTTCATTTGGTATCAAAGTACATAACTTCATTAAATAAGAATTTGAAAATTTGAGAAATGTTTAAAACTGTTTTAAAATAGCACAATACCTTTAAAGTAATCCTCCTACTTTGTTCTAGTACTCCTTTTTAAATTGATTAAATTAATTAAATATTTAAGCTATTATTGTAACAGTTATCAATACCTGCGTTTATTTCAACACGTAGGAATAATTTGATATGAATGTAACGGCGAGATCTAATATGACAAGCGGACAGCACTAACTAGAAAAGGACACAGTGCGTGTCGTGTCACATAAGGCCGGTGTTTGTAGTGTCACAACCCCCGCTTATCGGGAAGATACATCTACAAAAAGCTTCCGCCAACCGCAACGCTTCCACATGCCCCAAACGTAATTATAAAACAACTAAAAACGATGTTCATTACATGTTTTCTACACGTTAATGTTTTGAGGCGA